TGGAATTGTGGAAGCACAGAAATAAGGCTTGAGGTTTCTGCTTAGTAATTTGAACAGATACTTAGTCTGAATAGAATTCGCAAGATCAGAATGACAATGATCCAAGTGTTAGAAATAGCATTTCCTACTTTAACAATCTGTGATTCAAATAAAATGTAACATAGTTCCAAATAGGTAACACCATGGAGAGTGAAAAAGGAATTTATTTTTTTGGGAATGGGTGGAAGGGGATGGCAGAAAGAGAAGGTAAGCTGGTCTGTTAAAAAATCCACGTAGGTAGGGTAAATCACAAATTCATGAGGGTAGTGGTTAAACGTACACTCTCCTCATCCAGAAAACATTTGAAGCCCATCCCTATTGGTGACAGTTCCCAAGCTGATTCCTAGTTTCACAAATAAGCTTAAGAACCTAATTAACTCAGCCCTTCCTAATTTTCCCATCTTAGTGGCTTAAACTATGATACTTGAGGAAAACAGATGAGAAAGATGTGAAGTCAGGAAAGAAAGAAAGAAAAAAAAAAAAAGGAATGTTATGAGAAAGCAAAAAGAAGACAAAGATATTCCAAGCAGGTTTACAAGTAATTCAGTAGCTGAGGGAGGTGTCAGTAAGGGAAAGGGCAGTGCCGAAAGAGAACTGAAACTTAAGTGCCCAAGAGAAATGAAAGTGAAACTCCAGACTGTGAACGGAATGAGAACACAGAGGGGAAGTGCTCAAACACTGACAAGCTAGTACAATGGGAAAAGCTACCATAAAGTTATCTTGCCTAGGGCAAACACCCTGGAGGTTTTCTAACCTGGTATCCTTTAAAAATATGTATAGCTTGCATAGGTCTTTAATGACTTGGGCCCACAGTCATGCTGACTTAGGGTGAGCAACTGTACAGAGCCTTAGAGGGAAAAGTATGTGTGTAATCTGTCTGAGCTGAAAGCCAGATGAACTCTGATGCAACACAGAGCAGGCAGAGGAACAACAGGACGATGCTGCTGGTTCAGGAGCAGCCATCTCTCTGGGAAGTGGCTTTCTTCAGAGTACAGCAGGGATCTGGTCTGACACCCCAGGACAAAGGGCAAGAAACTGTGTCCAAGCGAGCCGTGGTTGCCACTACTGGATTTGCAAGAAAAGGAATAGTGACTTTCCTGAGTTTTCTCCACCTGCTCTCTTTCCATTTGTACATCATAACCCCTGTTTACCAAAGTCCCAGAGCTTACTGAGTACACAGGCTTCATTGCCAGTCTAGAAATGTCCTTATGGACAGGTCCTTCCATGAGCCTTCTGGCTCAGCTTTTGTACCTGGCTGTGACCATCACTGCTTGGATGCATGAGCTGTGCAGAGCACCAGGACATACACGAGCCCTGGAGAGGCAGTTCCCTGTACTTTCTGCCACACCAAGTAGATGCAGCCACAATGTGTCTTTGGAGTGAAATCTCCTTTCTCCCTAAATTCTTCCAAAGAGGTCATTGACATGGAAGATTTTGTTCAACAGGCCTAAAACTTCCCCAGCAATGCTTTTAGATGGGGGGAAAACCCTTAAGAAAAATAAAAGCTACAACACTGGGACATTGGACTGAGTGCTGAAACCAAGGGAGGAACCAACAAAGCAATCTTCAGCTCTATCAACATACATTTATTTTTGGTTTTAATCCTTTTTTTTGTTGTTATTGTTTGGTTTTGGTTTTTTTTTTTAGTATTGACTTATCTTTCACTAACATGTAAGGTCAGTTTCACAGTCTCTATTTGTTTGTTCCTTTACTGCTACTAAGGATCTAGTAAGATTGTTTTGTGAGAGCAGGAAATGAAGTTGATCTGTGGCCCATCTATAAACCAGATTAGGACATTGTAGGATATGTAGATATATATTTTATGTAGAGTGGTGTATATATATATACATTTCGTATATATCAGGATATTTTTTTTCATGTTGGTACTGTCTCTGCTACTAAGTATTTTCACTTTTAAAAAAGGCTGTAACAAATCCTCAGTGACGATCTTTGCATGAATGCCTATACTACCGGGTTGAAGATACATAAATAAGGAAACAAATCTTCCTACCCTCTTTTCCTTCTTTCTTCCCTTTTTCCCCTCTCCCACCCCCTCTTTATTCCCTTTCTTCTCCTTTCCCAGACTGTAGGATGATCAATTGCTTCTTTATACAAAGTTTGCAGATGTCTTTAATCCACTGTCAGTAATATTGTCAGGTGTCCCAGCCAAACTCCCAAGGTGTAAGGAAATCATTTCAGGCAATGTCAGACAAATGTCACACAAAAGAAAACAACCTGGAAGAAAAGATAAGTTCCTTGATAAAGCTCTGGAATGATTTTGCTGACTCATGATTTGTCCTTTATCTCATGACAGCTGGCATTTTTTGTGTAACTTACCTTTCATTAAATAGGAGGTAGGTAGCCCTTTTAGCCCTGAGATCTGGAAGAAGAATCCTTGAGAATGTGACAACTTCAAATTCACTAAAAATAAAACCTGTCAAATTGATAGGCTGTTATTACTTGTTATTACTTGTTTTTTTAATTCTTATTGATGTGTTGGATTTTGAATATTCAAGCTGGTTTATTCTTTCAAGCTCTTTTTCAGCAGGAGTTGAGCAAGCTTATGTTTGAAAACTGAAGATATGTTTAAAAAACCACTATTTTAAATATGCATGTCTGCAATGAAGACATACATATTAAAGACATTTAGGACTTTATATTCAATATGAGTAGTTAAATGCAGAAGATGACCCATAGTCCTAATTATGTTAGCATCCAGTGTAGGAATAAAAATACAATTTAAAGCACAGTTTAAATTGTTTAAACGTAATTTTGGATTTAAAGTTACTGGGAAAAAAGTTCAGTGTAAGCAAAGGGTGTGTTCCCAGGATCAGCTTCATTATGAAAGACTATTTCTAAAGTCAAAGCTGTTGGTTATTCATTTGCAAAGGTCACCTATCCCAAGCCTCTTTGGTAAGCTTGCCAGTAAAGGTGCTGTTATGAAACATGATTGCAAATTTCAGCTCCCCCTTCAAGGGAAGCTGAACTGAGGCTGCAATCTTTTACATAACTGTCAAAGGTGAGTTATTACTATTTTCAGCTGGATCCAGCTCAGAAACCTGTAAAAGAAACATTACCAAGCTGTTAAAATAGGAGGGCCTATTTCAACTTCAGTGCAATGTTCCAGCCTGTGAAACACATGGCCCTCTGTATTGTTTTGTTTTTCTCCTTGTAAAGTTATCAAGAGAATTTGAGGCAAGTTAAATGTGCAGAAGCACTGGTATATTCATATCCTTTGGGTCTTCTTTCTGGCTAGCGGTTTCCTTGCACTGACTGAAATTCTCCGTGAGATTTTACCATCACTGAGCACAGCCTGCGCTGATTTGGGTCCCCCTAAGTTAAGGCTGGTATAAATTGTGCAGTACCAAGATACATTGGTAGCCAGAACTGAAATTTGCACAGAAAGCTACTACCCAATCTAGATGACAATTGCATTTCGGGCAAGAAAGCAATGGACTTTTCAACACCATTCAGCTTCAGGCTTTCTAATGTTTCGGCAAGGACTATGGTGAAATGCCCTGTTTCCAGGCTGTTACGGGTGTTCACTAACTCATGAATGTGAGCAGCCTGCACACACAGCTCAGTTAATGCCAGGGCTTTGATGTCAGAGGAAGTACCACCTAAAAAAGTCCAGTAGACAGAAGACCATTTAAGCGCATGCCCAAACCAGTTTCTGTTCTAGTTAGCAGTGAGCTACATCCTTAAATATAAAGCACTGAAATATAAACACCTACACAAAGAAGAAAAGACTTGGGCCACCGTAAACATCTGATGAAAGTTAATTGAAATCTGTTCTGAAATGAGGGCTCGCAGAAGGAATGTGGGTGTGGCTCAGCCACCAGGCCTGCCTGATATTAGTCATGAACATGATAATTATGTATGCAACGAGCACCCGGGAATCAAACTGAGAGGTTTATTGGCTAGATTATTTCATAATCTCTACTCTTGGGCCAGAAGGAGGAGAAGAGCAACCTGCTGATCAAACCATATGGAAACCACCATGTGCACTGGAGGTTCTTCAGAGCAAACCCCTCACCTGTATGGATTCCAAGGTACTGGGGAGAAAGCACTATATCCTGACCTTTAAAATGTGCAGTTACAGTCACAAAGACCATGGGATGCCAGCATGAGCTGTAGAAGAGTCATGAGTCACTTGTGAGATTTGTGCTGCAGAAGGAACACGTTATCCCTTTGCTCTGCTGGTAGTGCCAGTCTCTTTCTGTCTTAAATGATCCATCTGCTGCTACCCAAATTAGACACACAGCTCTCACCATCACTGTGCAAAGCAATTGCCGACAGTGCTCAGAGCGTGGTGTTCTACGTAGCTCAAACCTTGCTTAGCATCTCACCTGCAGATAGGGAACCCCCTCGTGCCAAGAATGGCTTATGTCATTATCCCAGTGAAGCCCTCAAAAGAGGAATTGTAGCTCCAACTGCCAGAGACAATTAGACAAAGCTGGGACCCTGCAGGTCTTTGCCAGGAAACCCAGCTGAAGGGCAAAAGGAGAGATCTTCCTCTGGGGTGGGAGTTGTTGTCGTAAACCTATGCATGAGACTGGGTCTGGTAGAAAAATGACCACCTCATCTGCACAGCCCAGTGCTACTGGAGGTGTGAGGTCTGCTGTTTCTTGTTTGTCTTCAGCTCCACAACACTTTATTTTCTCAGGGTACACAACATCACTGTTAAAAAATCCTCAATCCTCAGCACACCTCAGCGTGCAGTGCAGTACTCCTGCACTGTTTTTAGGTTAATGCATACAGTAGGTACAAACAAACAGCAATAGCTGTTTGTTTGTACCCACTGCATGCATTAACCTGAAAACAGTGCAGGAGTGCTCACCAGAGGAGGTGTTACACACTGACATTCAATTATGGTAAAGTAGGTTGTGGAAATAAGAAAAACCAAAGAAGCAACCTTCACTTTCCTCATGCTCTCTCCCACAGTACATGTATTTATTTTGAGGTGCCCATAGTTCAAATGTCCTTGACAGTTTTCCTGTGTTTGCTCTTTGGGGGTGTCCAGTACTCAGTTTGGCTGTGAATCCCTGCTTGTAAAGCAGTTCTCCATTTGGCAACATCTTGGGAATAAGAAAAGAAGGAATTGGAAATCTCTCCATGTGTAGGTGTTTCATTCTGGAGGTGTTTCTGGCTTTCCACTTCTGAAGAACGAGTAGGTTGCCTTGAAATAATGACATTTATGGAAGCTCTTTAAGTCTGATCTGTATTTATTAGGACTATAGCATATAAGCAGGATGTCTTACAATCTGGGGTCCCAGGAGAAAAGCATCTCAAAATTTACTCTGGAAAAAAGAAATAATTCAATGAATAGCTGAATGGATATCTCCTACAGAAGAAAAAAATAAAAGGTACCTACATAAGCTCTGGTTCCTACTGAAATTAATAGCCCCACTTTGGGGCTATTATTGTTTTTTAATGATTCAAAGTATCAGGTTTACTGTTTAGTGTCAACATCTCAAATCCTGAGTAAGGTTGAAGTAGGGTACAGAAAATATCTAAAGCATGTCTGGGCACTGAACAGCAGCTTGGGTGCCTGGAGTTAGCAGTGCAGTGCCCTCAGCTCAGCCAGGCTCCAGCCTCACCCCCTGGGGCATTGCAGTCCCCCACCACAAGGCTCTCCCCTGGCTGGGTGGTTTGGCTGTTTCAGCAGTGGTGCCCTAGCTCAGGAGCAGCTGTGTTTCTTTTTCAAAAGGAGGAAGAGTAATTTCTAAGTGGAGAATACAGGGTATCTTCCGTACCCATGCGGTGATTGCATGCTCACCTCATTCCCACTCTGGTTCAGCAAGGGCACTCCAGCACATGTTTAGCTTGAACTTGAATGTAAAAGTGGTGATGCTTGTGATTTGTTTAGCAAAGAGAGGCATTTCATGTGGCTGAAGCCCAAAGCCTTGCTCTTTTTTTTATCAGTTCAGGCTGTCATTAGTAATTGAAGACAGGGGAAGGGTCACAAATTACCCTATTCCATCCCTACCTCAAGGGATGTTTTCAACAGGATATAATTATCATCCACAATCATCTTCTAACTCTTGAAATAATAGTTTAGTCATGCCTAGCTTTCTCTAGCATGTATTGAGAGAGCAATCAGAGTTTAAAAGAGGAATACCCTTCCTTTCCCAGCAGCATTTCAGGCTCTGAAGAACAAAAAGCCTACTTGAGGAATCATTGGCAATAGGCTGGTTTTTAATTAATAAAATTAAAAACGTTCATGTCAAAAAACTTCTTAGCATCTTCTTCTCAATTGAGTAATTTCAAGATTTTTCTGCATTTATCCCATATTTTCTTCTCTTTGGGCTATTTTATTCACAACTGCTCTTCTTTCTTAAATACTTGGCATTGTATATCAATGAGCTTCAAAAGTCTTTTGATGGGCTTTGAAATCCATTCCTTTAATAAATCTGTTTTGGTCCAAGTTATGCTTTCTTGATGTGACTTGTGCCAAATCTCTTGGTCCTTCCTATTCCAGCCATTCCTCTGCTCTTGCAACATTGACCAAACAAGGTTGTTCATTGTCTTTCCTGCAGAGGTCCCAGTATTGCCCGATGCAAGGGAAGATACCATGTGTAGAAATCAAGCTGCCTCAAGGACAATGTGGACTGCTGTGTTTGCCTCTGGTCCCCATTCAAGAATTTCCTTTTTTTTCTATGCTATACCTCTACATTCAAATTTGATGATAAACTCACCTGGCCATGACAGAGACTTCCTCTGTACTTGTGCAGTGGCCAAAGCATTGATCAAAGCCTTTAGAAAGTAATAAGATAGAGAATAAAATAGTAATTAAGAAATCCTCTCTTTGGGACATGTTGCTTTCTCTATCTTTAATATGCCTGATGCACTTTGAGACACTGAAAGAATTGCAATCTGTAATGCTTTGAGTTTGCCTGAAGATGAGAAAGCCTTGATGATAGAAGGCTCAAATTGGAAAACGTTGTGAGCACACAGTCCACAATGCAGCACTCTTATCTGTCTTGACAACCTGCTTTATCACCTCCCAGAGAAAAGGTGGCAAAATCAGTTAAATCAAATGAATTACCATTCCAGCCTTTTGCAGGATCCTTAAAAAGGCACTCCAGCTCCTTGGGAAAGGATGCTCTGTGCATGCATTTTAAATAATTTCAAGAGTTTAATTTTTTTACCAGTTTAATTACTAATCAGTGTCAAAAGCCAGTTGTAACATAATTCTCCCCAATTCTTTCTTTCTCTACATTTCCTGTTTTAAAGAGTCTCTGGGGATTGCCCTTCCTCAGTCCTGAACGCTCTGTTTAAATATGTTAAAAAGTAATCTTTGAAATGCGAAAATCTAGCTTGGATGTGTAGTTTAAATCTGGCATCTAATGAATTCCAAGGAGTTCCCAGATCTCTCAATTCCTCTGAACATCACATTCTGACTAATTTAAAAATTCTACTGTCCTAGGAGCTCATATTTTTTAAGCACTTAGAGAGCATAGTAATGAGCACAGGAGAAAATCCAAAGGAATATGACAGAGACATGAATTTCAAACAGCAAGTGCCAAAAAACCTGAACATTACTTTTTCTTTTAAAGAAGCTTGTAACCTTAAGAGAGAGAAAAAAAAAATAAAAATGTTGAAACTGATTTGAGACACGCAGCTTAACAAGATGTTTCCTCTCACTAGATCTCTGGAAATGCTTGGACTTCTTTTGCCATCTGCAAAATGCTTTTTAAACATTGTTTACTTGATCTTAATCTTCTCCTGGGAGACCAGTGGGAAATTAGTGCATTCTTTTTCAAGGTATAGAAATTGAAACAAACATTGTTAAGCCTCATCATTTAGGAATTCATTCCCAGTGAATGCAGTCTCTTCAGCAATTCTGTCTTCAGAAGTGATGGCTGGAGGGAGCAATTGGAGAGGACAAGAATGGGGAAATTAGGAAGTTTCTAGGGGAAGGGGTCTTTAATGATGAAGAGAGATAAAGAAGGGTATGTGAACTGGAATTGTGCTGAGGAGTAGGAATGGTTACTTGGAAGTCCTGTAAAATGTTTGAGAGTTAAACTAAAATGCAAAGGCCTGGTGGGGCAGTGGGAGGCGAAGTGGAGCCGCAGGGGCGCCACTGTGCTCTGGAGGAAGCAAAGGGTGAGTTGCACAGCCTGCCTCGGGCTGTGGCACCAGCCCTCCCTTGTCTCTTGTCTTCATGTCTCCTGTTTGTGGAATGGACCTAATACTTAGGCAGATTTCCTCAGGCAGGAAAGCAGGAGGGCATTATGAGAGAAGTGAGAAATTCAGCTGCACTTCATTGCCTTTGGTTAGCCAAACACTGACCCAGCACCACCCACCATTGCCACTGCCAGGGTGGATATACCCAGCACATGTTTTAGTGCTGTCAGTTCTCTTGTTTTGTCCTGGCCAAAACCACTGGCTTGCAATAGAAAGACCTGCAGGTTGAACGCCCTTAATAGCATATCTGAGGAACACATGCTTGTCCTGCCTTGCAACATCATCAGAATAGCAGCGGTTTGCTTGTTGCCTGTAAGACCCAGAAGGCAACATCTAATAGCATGCTTCCCACTGCCTTGTCTCTCCTGTGACTACCTCAAAGCTTTAGCCCAAGAAGGTTGGCAGAATCGGTCCGCTGTGTGCAGTTAGTTGCAGATTAAAACTTCTGTGGATTAGGAACTTTGCCAATGAGATAATGTGAGACAACAAATTTAGGCACTCAAGTAGACTGATTTATCCTTAAGCAGTATCTGCCCTTTTAAATATCATCAGAACAGTCAGAACTTTTGACTAAAAAAAAAAAAGGAAAAAAGCAAAGCTTTTGAAAATTATCCTGCATTTCATTCAGTGTGAATTAGTGAATGGTGTCAGCCTTGAGCAGTATTGCTTTTCATAAAGGATATTATTTGTAATAAATCCTTTTTCAAACTGTGTCATTAGGGACACAGCAGAAGCAGGACATTATGTTAGGAATTATTCCTAACACCTATTGCCTAACCCTGTTGACATTCAGTGTGAAGATCCATTTTACTGCTCTGTAGCCATTTAAAAGGGATGTTAATATGGAAGCAAGGTGATTGGAACCAACAAGAACATCCAACAAAGTGAATTTGCATTGAAAAATGTTGTCTTGTCAAAGCTGAAGTGATTTGTAGGGATGCATCAGTTGTGATGAAGTTCTTGATGGTCTCTGAAAACTACAGCATTGCCTTCTTACTGCTGACCAGGGCACAAACAAAAACAAACATTGAATTTTTTTTTAAATCTTGCAATAGATGCCTCAACACAATTTTGTTCTGCTGCATAAAAATTGTTTCAAAACCTAATGCAGCTTGATAACACATTTCCAAATGGTGGGAGGAAGTTAATGTCTTGAGGCTGGCTACAAATTATACTCGTGTCTTCTTAAGAGCCCATTTACGTGTCTATAAGGGTGCAGAATTGCTGTTCTATAACTGAGACTCGGAACATGCAGAGTATAATCTCAAGCAGTGTTTGCATATATACCCACAGTGTATTGGGCACTGCTTGGTTTTATAGATGTGGCTTTCCATGCCAAAAATCCTATAAAGATGACCAACATAGGTGTCATCAAGGAACAGCTAATAAAATGAGAACAGTTGAAATAAATAAACCCTGCACCAATCTTTGTATCACCATTTTATGTATCAGAACCCCTGTCCTGTGAAGTCCATGAAACTAGCCAATTCCAGATACTGTTTATTGTATAGGTATAATAGACACGTATATTTCTGGTGGGAAATGCTGCCTTTTAGGCTCATACTGTTTTAGCATAAGGAAAAGCCTTTCAAACTTCTAAATTCCAGACCTCACCAAAGGGAAAAGTAGCTGACAGGAAAGCAGGCTGCATCATTTACAGGAGGCAATTACAAAGAACAGTTGGAAAAAGAAAAATGCAAAACAGCCAGGTATCAGCCACACTGAGGGAGACAAAATGGAAAGGCTGTGAAGGAAAGAAAGTAAAGAAGAAAGCATAGGACAAAAAAAAGTGCCAGTGATTTCCAGTGCTCAGGAGAGAAGCCTGAGCTCTGCTCCTGTGTCTGACTTGTTCACGTACCTCAGCTGTGTAAGGCTGCTGAACAGCAGTGTCTGCTGCTGGCATTTTTCTCTCTCTATTGCAAATTAGTTCAGGCAGTTGAGTGAGGAAAAGGTTACAGGATTATCTTTTTTTTTTTTCCAACTTGTTAATTTCACTTTTGTGTCTGTTAATTTTCTGGTTTGCTCTTTGAGTTGTTCTCATCATGAGACAAATATAGTGTCAGGGCACAGCAAGTGCCTGGCTGGACCTGTGCTTGTTCCAGCTCTGACTTAGACCAGCTTAAGCTGTGATGGAAATATGCCTAAGATGTTTCCTAAGTCCAGAGTGAAATCTGATGGCTTGGTTCGGTGATAGTTGCTTTAAAGCTATTGCTAACTCTACACTGGGAATCTCTTCAAGGTCAAAACTTGGTATTTTGCAGAGACCACCAAACAGCCATCCCAGATATAAATGTAATTAGCTATCACATCTGAGCTTACTTAAACTCACAATTGATTGATCAGCACTTTGGGCACCTGGCCATGTGTGGTGGTGGTGCTGAGCTGATGCGCACAGTCCCGGTGCCAATCCAGGACTCCAGCAGAAGAGATGAGATGTGCCCTCAGTAGCTGAGCCCAAGGCACTTTGACTTTTCCCCCATTGGAGGCTCTCCCCAGAGTGCTGGAAGGAGCCAGAGCCCTAGCCAGAACAGATGTTGGTGGTGGCATCATATAACACTGTATCATTCGTGCGTGATGGGGCAGAGCACTGACAGATCTGTGATGTCTGGTGCATGCACAGATCTGGGAGGAGTGCGACTGCCCAGCATGACAGCTCATGGCCATTCTTTGTGGAGTTTGGGGAGACTGAAGGGACCTGGCAGGGCTTCTGATTCCAGGAAGAAGATGGGGGAAAGCAGAGTGTGTGCACATGTGTTCCTATGTTAAATGTTACCTGAAGGCTGAAGGAAAGGCAGTCGATACACTTTTTTGGTCAGGTGATTTCTACTTTTTCAGACGGTTTTTCTTTATGTACCGCTGGGTGGAGTAAAATAAGAAAACCATGAGTTATTCTCTGTAGTGGTGCTTTCTGCTGTTCTTTCTGTTCACCTCCATGAGGTTCTTTAGTCTCCAAAGCTATTGAGAGAGAGGAAAGAAGATTCTTATCTTCCCAGACTTAAGTGGAAGAAGTGGAAAGCATATTTATTCCTCACTTTTGTTGGGGAGAAGGGAGAACTTCTTCCTATGCTAATTCTCTGAAGATAATTTTATTGGTATCAGGCCACAAACTTGGCATCACTGACGCTGTGGGACGACCTCCTGAATTCGTAATTACACAGCTTTATAATAGCATGGTGTGTAGGTGTGGGTTTTCTTGAAATCGAACAGGATTGACTGCAGCCAGGTTACACACAGAGTGCTTTTTATTTGGGCTCCCTTTTTGGAGACATTCACATAAGAGCATGGACATTAACATATGAGCATTTGTATGTGCTAATGTACAGGTAAGTTATCCTGCTCTGTGAGAGCTATAAGACACATATTTACTTGAATTGGATAATTTATGAATGCTTATGAATTCCTAGGGGCATCCATTTCCTTTGGACTAGCGCAGTTAAACTTATTGCATGTTCTCTGACTGACCATTTGCATCTGCCAGCAGACAGGGAAGGGACTGCTTTGACACAGTATTGCTGCAGTGGGACTGAAAGGATTGCTCACCTATGTGGGGGACTGGTAGAAGTGGTCAGGACAAACTGAGATGGATGTGCATCACAGTAAAGCATAAATTAACTGAACAATTGGGTAGAAGTTATGAATATATCCCACAGAGATGAAGGGTGAAAAATTGAACAGGACTGAAGGGTGGGATCACAAAGTAGTTTGGTCCCAATCAGTAGTTTTCACTTGCATTTTAAGCGTGCAATGTGAACACAAAATGGCTACCACCACTCCCCTTTGCTGTTTGTTATGCTGTTTACTGACTGGTGTGAACATAACAGGTTACAAAAATTGCAGTGCTAATCCATTAGCAGCACCCAGGAAAAAAAGCATTTCGTGTCCCTGCAAACCTTCCATCAAAAGATCTTCCACCAAGCTCCCAAGAGCAATCTGGTAAAGCTCAGAACAGGTGGGCTTTTTTGCCATCTCACATTGCAGGTAGAAGGTGATGTGCTGAGGGATGGTTAAGTACCTGGGTTAAACTGCAGAGGCTTGAGCACAACTGTGACTTAGCTCAGCAAAATGAGAATCCTCCTTCACTGACACGATGGCTTGAAAGACAAAGCAAGAAAAGAAAGCTGCTTTGACCAAATTTTAAATTAGAGTGAGTAGATAATGGGAACATAAAGAAATTATTAATGAATGTGTGTATGGAGGGGAAGCAGTGAAAGAAGGTAGGCTAGGACAAGGTGGTGGGATTAAACTGATGAGATGATTTTCTACTAGCTGTGACAATAAAGTGCCCAGCAAAAGCATAAAGGAAGCACATAATGGTGTCACTGGAATAGATATACACACAAAGGCCATTTATAATCCCACTGCCCTAAGTAATGAGAGTAACAAAAACTCAGCTGTGCAGATTTACAGAACTGACAAGCTGGTGGGGACTTGTTGCCTCCCAAGGCATCTAATACTGCTTGCTCCTTAGAGAATTCCACCAGCCAGCTCTGGGTTGCAGTGTCAGTCAGGGCATCGCTGCCTCACAGGTCTCTGCACAACACTTTGTCACATGGCCAGGATGCACTCTCAGAAAAAGGCCCAGGCACTGACCCGGCTGGAGAAGTACTTCACCAGATTGTACTGATGAGAAGATCCAGACTGGCCAACCAACTATTAAGAGAAATGAGTAGGGTTTTCCTGCCTTTGAGGAAGAATCCTTGCCTGTCACTTTCAATTAGCCAAATTATAGCTGTCATTGTGTTCCACAGCTCATTAAATACCAGGAGTCTGCTTCAAATAGTATGGGCAAATCAAAGAGACAGTCTTGATAAGATTCTTTCTTTTAACCAGAAAAAAAAAGACTTCTATCATGACACTTCACTGAATTGAGCCTTTGTTTCATCCAACCTCATTTTTCCCCTGCATTACACCTTTCTACTGATATCTAAGGACTTTAGTAGTGCTGTTCTCAGGAAAGAAAGAAAAAATATAGATCAATAGATGGACAGGCATGCTGACCTCTCTCTCTTGCAGTCAGGATGTTTGAGTACTGCATAGCAGCTATCATACAGGCTTTAGTTCAAATACAGTGTGTGCCAAAAACACCTTTCTACCTTTCCATGTTGGTCATATTTTTTCTTGATTTGCTGTTTCTCTGAAGGAAATACAGATTCAAACCTACTTAGATTGTAAACAATTCACAGTAAAGTACATGTTTATATACAAAAAGTACAGGAATAATCTGTAAATAAAAGACTTCCCTGCTGGAATTCTGTATTAAAGTCTTACTCCAGCCATAACAACACTTGGTAATGGATAAGTTTCAACTACTCTTCCTCTTTTTAAATATTTTACTACAGAAAGTCTTTGGGATCTTAATCAAGGGTGTGGATCCCATTGTACACAGCACAAATCCAGAACAAAAAGATGGAGAGTTCACAGCACACATACAAGGCCAGATGAAGTGGACAATAAATAGGCGAATATACAGAACCAATGAAATCATATTGATCTGTGTGCAATGCCCTGGTCTCAGCACCCTGGTGCCTTAGCCCTTTTCTTTCATCAGCACCATAGAAAAGCAGGGTTCTTTAAGGTCTCTAGTAGAACCAGTTAATAAAAGCCTTATGCATGCCTTCAGTAAACTCCATTAAAGCAGGAAAGGTAGTGTAAGAGAAAACCTGGTATTGTTTATGTCCATAGCTGTTCAGAAGGTGGAGACAGTGCAAGGTCATAGGAAGATCACCTCAAGGGACTGTCCATTTTGGTGGGGACAGGGATGGTGTTATTCAGAGCATGGGCACAGAAAAAGGCAGAAAGAAATGAAAAATGAGCCCAGAATCAAAATCAGGGAAGAAGGCCGGGTGGGAACAGTTGGAGAGATGGAAGATGGACAGCATATGGCAATAATTTTGCAGGGGATGGAAAAAAAATTCTGTGTTGTTTAAAAGAGGACAAGGAGCACAGAGGAGAGAGGTCAGGTGGGGCAGAAACTCGATAGAAGCTCAACTCTTCTGGTACATTTGAATCTAAAGCAAAGAAAGGCACTCAAGAAGATGTGTGCGAGGACACTAATCACAGACGCTTCTACAGTGCCTAAGGGGAGCGATATAGCTATGCCTATGTGGGACGCTCTTGCCCCTGTATCTCTGTTATTAAATACAAACATACTGTTTACTCTCTCTTTCCCTTAGAAATACCAAGGCACCCTGGGGAAATACAGTTAAGCTTTTATTGAATCATCAGCATACTGCTTGGTAATTTTATTCCCATCTAAGTCCTGCTATGTGGTTAAAGCTGGGCCATGTGCTTCCTGTTAAAGCAGAACACTGTGTCCCACCTTGAAAGACATACCATGTCCAAGTCTCCACAAACTAAAAGGTCTGAAGGGGCAGCAAATCTGAGACCTACATGACACTGGATGTCTTGTTTATCAGTCTTGCAAATGTGCAAATAAGATACACACTTGTCAATAGAACATATTTCAATACGGTTTTCTCCAGTAAAGAAAAATAAGACACACAGAAAAATAAATGTATTTTTGGTGCCTGAATGTCTATTGGTTCATTTTCAAAATCTGCTTTTATTTATCCTCTGGTTTTCATTGATCTCTGGCAATAAACATGCCAGCTGAGAGAACTTAGTTATAACAGACAGTTTTTCTTCCCTCTGCCAGAAGTGATCTGGTTTCCTCTATGAGCCATACTTGGGAGTCTTCAGTCAGGTTGAAATATATCTCAATTCAGTGGATTATAACCAAATTAAATACAGCTTTACTCCAAAAGATTTATTCATTTTTAGGATCTTCAAAATGAATTTTCATTCCTTTTCTCTCTAAAACACACAGGTTTATTGACAGCATGTGTTGTTGTCTGAAATCCAATACCTTTATTACAGCACCTTATTATAAATGCCTTCTCTCATCTTTCTCAGACAAGCATCTCCCTACCTATCTGCTCTCTCCTTCATCTCTTGTTTCCAGACCCAATCTTCCTCCATCACCCTGTTGGCGTGATCATTTTCATGTGCTCAGATCTACATGTCTCCAGCACAGGACAGAACTATTCTGAGCACACCTGCGAGGCCCTTACCAGTGTCCCAGAAACTCCACAGTGGTTTTCAGCTAGACTTTGTGGGCTCCTAGGCCACCTCTGGTTTGCTGCTGCTGCTGAATTCCTTTTCCTAGGATGCTTTCCCCCACTTATTTCCTCCTGAGCCTTCCTGTGTACATTTGGGTACTTTTTTTTCTGACAGAAAACGTCTCAGAGGCAGCTCTCATTCAACCTGAGGAGCTGAAAATCCCTTTTACAGCATAAGAATTAATTCAGTAGGAAATCCCAAGGAGCAACCAATTTAAATGTTGTTTAATTAAGGAAAAGTGCTTCTCTTACTTTAGATTTGATGCATACATATACCCCAAATACACAGTCAGGGGTTGAAGTGCCTTGATAGGGTATACAGAGCATGTCACATTTGCATTGTCAATACTGGCATTTTTCATGTGAAATAGTGGGAGCAGAGAGACTATTTAGTCACACTTCTCTATTTGCATACCAATACTTCTGAGTTTTCACACAAGGACTTCTGAACTTCCCCTGTGACTAAGGCACACAAAGCACAGATACACGCCAGAGAGGAAATGCAAATCAAGAATATATTTGTACCTGTGCCCACTCCATTTGGGTGCTTTTCTCACCTGCGGTGAAACCTCCTAGCCCATTTAAACTGGGAGGGTTACAGATTCGTGGTTCAAACAGCCCAACATATAAAACAAGGGGTGACTCTAACCTTGATTGAGCTTCAGTGAATCAGGAGTTAGTTGAAAATAATTATGACCTAGTCTTTACCTCATTGGAGCCATTATCTTGAATCACAAAGGGGATAAGGAGTTGTAGAGAAGTGATTCTGTTTGAAGCTCTGTTGCCATTATTGTTGGTTAATATTATTCATAGCATAAACCAAATTTATTTTATTTGGTAATGGTGAAACAATGCATCTATAAATAATGCTCAACACCTTATATAAAAAATATTTAACACTGAAAAGAGTAGCATGAAATTTTACCTTTCCTGAAACTCAACGTCCTGTCATTTCCAAAATTCAGTTTTAACATTGTGGTGAAGACTCAGCAAGCAAAGAAGTAAAACTGTTACTAACAGGTTAAGGAAACCTTCCTATGACACTGTTTCGCTTTTAAGTGGGAAACAAGTTCTACTCAGAACTAAACTGTCTGCTTCTGGTTATTTAACACCAGCCATCTAAATATCCTTTGATGGGGCCTAATAGGGTTTTTTGTATGCAAATTCCCACGGCTCGAGCAAGAAAGTGAAAGCGATTTATAGTACACGCAGCCAGGTGCACTGGGTATCTATCCTGCGTCTCTGGGGCACATAGATCCCAAAGTCCTGGCAGAGCCAGCTGTGGAAAGGGCTCAGCCCTTGGCTAGTGGGGCCAATGACCAGGTTACCCCTATCCCGGCCTCATAGTGAGCAGTGGAAGAGCTGCTGCTCACAGGGAGGAGGAGGACATGGGACCAGACGGCGGTTGTTTAGCTTGGCCGTCCTCACCTCCTGCGGCAGCCAATCTCTCTGCCAGCATCCAGTCGTTCCCACAGTAAGCCCGGTCTTAGTCTGGGATGCTTGCGTTCAGTTATTAATTTGGATGTAGCTGAAGTTTTCCTGAGGAGCTCAAGCCACGGCACGGGAAGCACATATTTCAGCTTTCAGTCGGGGCCAGAGTGAAGGAGGATTTCTCTGTCAGGAGGAAGAAGGCAGTGGTTTTACCTCAGGCCTGTCTCCTGACTGGATGGTGAGGACTGGTGGCAAGGGGAGATGGGCTCTTCACAGAAACCCACAGAAATCTCCTTGTGGAAAGCTTTTGGCTGCCTTTGTACACTGGGCTTGGGCCAGGTACCCTGGAAGTGAAAACAGCTACTTAACAGTTTCATAGCCTTTATGTCCATTTGTAAAGCACTTTGCGAGAGGCGAGTTAACATTAACCCCCCTCCACAGAGAGCAGAAGCGGGCAGGTGTGTCTAAAAGCACCTGGCAAATTAATGACAAAAATGTAAAGAGAAGCAGAGGCCTCTCATTCACAGACCATGTTTGGGAAAAAAAGGCGGGGGGAAAAAAAAAAGGAAAAAATAATATTAAATACATGAAAGGTAACAAAAGCACATGTCTGTAAAATTGTTTTCATAGCATCACTGAGCTGTGACTGCAGCTGATGTTGTTTAAGTCTGTGAGCAGACACTGGGTTTGCCATGAGCTCTCCTGCCCTGGGGAACCACATCAGAAAGAGTCATTTGGGCAGAAGGGAAGATGGCTTAGATGCTGAGAATCTGGCTTAATTTCTTATTTCAGGGTGATATAAACCTTCAGAGGTCTGTATCAGATCACAACTTGTTAATGATGTTGTAAGTCACCACATCTCCATTTTGTGTAAGAGATGTAGAAGTCAAATTAGTGCTCTGCTTTCTTGTTCCTTGAAGAAAAACAAGAGTATTTTGATCTGTTTAAAAAATGGAGTATTAAAACCACTACTTTTATAAAAAATAATGAGTAGCCTTATGTCCTTGCTCAAAGCTGCTGCAGCACACAGCATGTACCACACACACAAAGCAAAAAACTCTACAAAATAATGCAGTAGCCAAACAAACGCAAAGTAACATCAGCAATGTCTCTGAGGGAAATGCTTGTCAGAATCACTCCTAGAACAAGTCTGTGGCTGCTCTGCTCTTTTTATTACCAGAGAAGAGTTCGATGGCAGCAGAGTGAACCACGGTTTTATTTATTGTGTAGCTCCCCTGTGGTACTGCCTTATGTCTTTAATTCACGAGTGGAGATACCACGCTGCTTAACCTAACTGCACCTCTGCAGCAGCAGAAGCACTCCTGGAGAACCGAAAGGATAACTTCGTTAGCTCAGCCAGCAGAGGGAACTGCTAATCAGCACTAATTGCTCACACAGGGCTAACAGATATCCTTCCAAGCTCAGTAAATATCCAGTAAGTCATGGCACTTCACACTTTCTATGCTGTCAGACTGCAGATGACCCAGCAGATTCCAGCATGGCTATCTCCCTCTGAAACACTCCTCCAGGCCTTCATTTCCCCTCCCTTTGACCTCACGGCTTTCTCCCGGAGGGAGGGAGAGCTCTCAAGCGGTTTTGGCACAATGGCATTTCTGTCTCTTTCTGGTCAATTGAATGCTCAAATAAACTAAAATCCTGCCTGAAACACGCAAATTCTTTTCCCACCACGTGTCCTCTCATTCTCCTCTAGTTCTGCTCCTGTCCCAGGTATTTTCTGCCAAGCAGCAGCTGTACAAAGCAAGGGTTAAATCAGGTAGCTCATATTTAATCTCAATTTAGCAAAGCCAGAGGCAGGTTTGACCCATACTGACTGGCTTCACAAGGCTGTGATCTCGTACTACAGTGCCAGAGCCACAACACCACAGCCAATGCCTAGCCAGGTAGTGCTCCTCCAGAGTACCCCTTGTAATTCCTCACAGCTTTCCTTAGAGGAAACACATACATAAGGTGTAAAACACTCTTTGCTTAGTAACAGTTATTTCAAAAGCTCTGTAGTTATCAACATCTAGTCAAGGTATGGATTGGTTGCATCCTTTTCCCTGCCTCACCCCAGGCTGAGTCAGAGTGCTTCTTACCTGCCAACACAAAGTACTTCCCAGTGGTATCAGTTTGCTTCCAAGAGGGCAAACGAAAGCAATCCCTTATGCCATTTGTTATAGCAGTTCAACTTGCTTTATTCAGTGCTAATCCTGGTGGCTTATTTCTCCAAACTAGATAAAATAAAAGGTGCTTCCAATGCCTCCTCCCTGCCAACAGCTATAGCTCCCATTCCAGCAGAGGCAACCAAACCAGCACAGCTGTAGAAGATAGAGTGGGAAATGGAAAATCCACCATCAAATGTAAGCACTCCAAAGGGGATCCATTTGATTGAAGACGAAGAAGGCATGCAGCAAAAAGCTCATTAAGCAACTTCTAATGAACTTATATCTTGGAGGGCATTGAGCAGTGAGAGGAGCCAAAGGCAGCTCCCTCTTATACCTGTCACCTGTGGGCCACCAACATCCTTTTCATAGCCAGCAAGCAGCCGGAGCACAGCCCGTGTCAGCCACTCCTCTGTTGCAGAGGCTATATAGAAATCCATATGGTACCTCCCTGACACCTCGTTTCCTGCACCCCAAGCATCCTAAGGAAAGGCTTAGGTAGCTGAAGATCTGGCCTGCTGCATTCACACAAAATCAGCAGGGGAGTCTTGTTTGCAGGAATACAATGAATTAAACTGGATGAGGTCCAGGACTCAAGTTACACTAATTATGGGTTTAAAATTAATGTAACACTACACACCTGCTTCCTTCCAGCCTGAGAAAGATGCCTTAGAAGGGTGTTATGTCTAATTTCTGCTTTTACAACCTTGAGAGGAAGGTGCTTTTACCATGTGAAATTAATTGCTTAGGTGCCCTCCCAGGGCTCTCACATGGAAATCGGAGCTTTTGAAAAAATGAGGGAGTGAAAAGACAACAGCTGTAAGATGAACCCCATGATAGAATAAAGGCAGCACCTTACTGAATTAATTTTACTTTTCCCTGTAACACATCCCTGGTTGGCATCCCTGCTTAACCCTTCCTTTTCCATTGAAACTTATTTTTCAAAAAACTCAAAACTTTTCCAGCCTAGATTATTTTTCCTCTTTTCATGTTTATAACAAAACTAGTTAAGACACACAAAAATCTGTAGAAACTCAGGACTGATGAACCTCACCCAGTGTACTCTCATCTTGCACTCTCCAAGGGAATCTGTCTCTCTCTTTTCTGGGGTACCTGTGTGGCACAGAGCTATCCTTCTCCTCTAGGTATCCTTTGTCCAAGCATGGCTGTCACCAGCTAAGCAGCAGCCCCACCTGTGCACACAGCTTGGGAGCACAAGCAAAGCCACCCATATAGCACTACAGTTGGAGAAAAATTCTTCAGGGTACCACATGCTCCAAAAAGTGTTTCTGGGAGCACCTTCAACTGCAGTCTGGTGATACACTTCCCAGCCATTGTGTGGCAAAGTGCATGTGACTTCCTCGCCTACCTGGCCTGCCATGCAGGTCCCCCTCCATCTATCTCATGGCCTTTTTGGAAGGGCATGGAGGGGAGACATAACCATTCCTACTCACTAATCTTTAAAAGTTCTGTAACTTCTGCACAGCCATAACACTCGGGAAGTCAACTCCCTTTGGGCCTGGCTCACAGCTTGTAAATATTACTCACCCTGAGCAGTTATCCTAGAACAGGGACTTTCAACATGTGCATGCACTGCCGTTCTTACTTCTTGCAGCACCTTGTACTTCCCGCACTTTCAATGCTGTATTTCCAATTCCCCATGTGCTGTACTGCACCTGAAGGAAGACTCATTCCAGATACCAAGCTCTTCGGACTACTTGGAGGAGCTGCAACTTTATAGAGGAAAATAATTATATGTAAGAAACAATTTACTTTTCTCTTTGCTGGCTCAGCGAGCTCCTTAGTAAGGGGGGAACAGGGATCAGCCACTAAGTATTTTGAGTTTGACCAACTTGGCCTGAAAACAGCACCACTGTTGATGTCTTGGAAGTCACTGGTTCTCCATGGGGCAGTACTTAGAAATCAGAAACCACCTGACTGTTTTGCAAGCATTTTCTTATTAAAAAAAACCCCAAACCAATAATGAGATAAATACTCCTCATTCTGTGAGTGGATTTTTCTCAAACTGAATAAAATCAGGTCATTGCTTCCAGCTCTGCACTAACTGTAAACACCCCTTGCTCCCCTCCTGCCACATTTTCAGTATGTTGTGAGCCCAGAAATATGTCCTTGATAGAAAAGTTAAGCAAGGATGGCCATCAGTTCTGGGGAAGAGGAGTGGGGAATCACTCCCTTCCATCCCAGACAGTGGGATGTTTACAGCTCCAAAAAGCTGCAGTAGAAAGGCAGGAACAGGCCAGCAGGTTTGATCAGAGGAAGTGGCAAATTCCAGAGTCAAGAGGGAAAGAGCCCTGAGTCACTTAACTCAGACAAAATAGTTAAAACACTTAATTTTCGTACTTGTTGATGCAATTTCAGTGCCTCCGTCTGCAACATCTGGTTGCCTTAGATACATGAGGTAACTACGGCAACTAGTTATTACAGGGAGAGGGATAAGAAATAGATCAACATTACTGAATTTGGCAGGCTCTAAAATAGCTTTTCTGTAAAGCAGAGCCAGGTGCAGAGGGTACAACAGCACCATGGGGCAATGAAAGGCAAAGGTGGCCACAGCAGGACAACACCCTGGCGTTAGGCTGCTTAAGCACCTGGATGCATTCATTACCTCTTTAGATCTCCTTGCAGCAGGATTGCTGGCCAGAGTACCAATGCTGCTCAGGGGGGTTGCCCAGGATTTGTATTGGATTTGTATCTTCAGTTTAAGTCATCCCCTCCCCACCACCCTACCCTCCCCAAACATCTCCCTCTCAAAAACAAGGAAGGTGTTGGGAAGTACTCGTTGTCCTCCACAGATTTCTAACTAAAGGAGGGATTTATGAGGTGAAAAGCTGTAGAGACCAGAAAGCTGTGAACCTGAACACACATCCTAAATATCAACACTCTAATGGCACAACTGACACCATGCCTTGGTGATGTAATGTACTGTAGTGCACAAAACAGATCATAAAATGATGCACAGTTCTTGTTAACTAACCATTTTAATGCTTTTTAGAATTATTAGTTAATCTATTGGAAGGTGAGCCGCTTTCAGGCTGGGTTGTCTTCCCTGCAGAAAGTCATTGAAGTGCACTGAAACACCCCAGTGACCTCCTTGCTCCAGACAGTAGGGAGGAGTGGGTGTTCCCAGATTTGAAAGTGAACCATCCAAGACTGCCAGAAAGACATGTTTGTGCCCGAAATGTCTGACTTTTTTTTTTTTTTCTTGGCTTGCAGGAAAAGCTGTGTTAATAAATCCTTAATAAAGGATTGCCTGAAAAGCTGGATACATGTGCTGTCTGAATATCCTTCACCAGGATTATTCCCACACAGAATTTTTCCCTACATAGCTAGGACAAAGCCTTCATTTCATATTTGACTCAGAACTACAGACATTTACAGAAGGAAGCCAGCACCACTGTTTCATGTGATGCATTTCATTAAAAATACCTCTAAGATCAGGGTGTTACAGTAGCCAACCAGCCCTGGTTCTGCAAATCAAAAGCATCATTCACTAATCCTGGCAACACTATATTCCAGACCACAAAGGGCGCTGCCTTATAACACTGTTTACATATGAAATCCGAGTGTCTAAACCAGAAAGTCCCCACCTTTTCACCTCAGCAGGCTGCTCGAGGGAAGTCTGCACAGAGTTTTGCTTCCCTTAGGATGTTTTCCTCATTAAACAGGCTAGTTGGTAACTTATATAAGTTTGTATTTTTCCCAGCAGATTGCCCTCTTGGAATTCTTCGCTGTCTATCTTCAGAGATGAGAACTGGTTAGATGAACAGAAATGAGATTCAGTCTCAGTAAATGTAAAGTAATACACTCGGGAGGAGTAGTGAGAGCATTTTCAAGCACCTTAAGGGCTCTAAACCAAGTACCTCAATTTCATAAAGCGACCCAGGCGGCAATGCATAGCTCAGTGAAAGTCATTGCTTAACATGTAATCAAAAATGTTGACAATATATGAGAAATCTTAAAGAATGGGCTGCAAGTTAAAAAAATAAAAAAAGAAAGGAAATGCTTTAAGACCGTTTCAAATGACTGAGCACTGGGAAGACTGTGGTATAATATAGTGTATTTACTGATTAACATATTTCAGAAAAATTATAGCAAGGGTTCGTAAAAAATAAGAAGTAAGAAACCTTTCCAACTAAAGAGTGATCTGAAGGAGTGAGACTGTATTCTTTAGGAAGCAGAAAACTAGGAGAGGGTCTGACAGCAAGCATGGGGAATGAGAAATGATCTGGAGATACCAAGAGCTTCTCCTCTCCCCTCTCCCTAATAAAAAGAGGGGATATCCAGCAAATTAGAAGATGTGAAATGCACAATATCAAGAAGAAAACACTTTTACACAGTCTATACATTTTAAAATGCTGTGGAAATTGCTGTGAAAGCAGTCTAGGAGGTTACTGCCTGGATACCCTTTCCTATTTCATACCTGCACTGCAGACACTGGAAGGACCATGTGCTAACTCTCTGGGCAATTTCCCCCCCCGCCATCACTGGCTGAAACCTTAGCCTAAAAGAAACTTGAATGAAAGTGGCCACGTAGCAAGATGTATGAGGTCTGGCAGCTGGGAGATACGCTCCACTCCCCTTCAATATGGGGCTGAAAGCCAGCAACAGAGAGGCAGTAACAAGTATGTGATGAAACAGAGCTGCAGCTGCTGGTTCAGCAAATATAGGTCAGAGCTACAAAACCTTAATCTATGGAGGAAGCATGAATGTCAAAAAAAATAATCAGATTCAAGCAGGATTACAAGTTGTGTGGGTAACCAGAGCCCTAGGAGTTCACCTAAATTAACTGATAGAGAATTTATCTCTTTCTGTGTAGATGCAAATGGGACTAAGCAGCAAGACCTTCTGAAAACACAGTGACCTTCTCTGAGCTTTAGAAAAATTGCAAACTTTTCCTACCCAGCAGGCAACATAGTTCCAGAACCTTTCAACAGTGGTGTTGTAAGCTCACCTCTGCAGTCTGCTGTTCAGACACTGTTAGCTGCAGAGTGTTTGAAATGGGAGGGCGAGTAGAGGAACGGGGTCACAACACCACAGCTTGGCGTAGAGGAGCAAGTCACTGTTTTGGGGACACGATCCAGCAGAATACTGGTGCATCACTGTATGCTAAACAGAGGTGTATACATGTTAAGCAGTGAGCACCACTGTGTGTTAAATAGAAAACAGAGAAGCAATCTAAAGTCAGACAGAAATTACTCAGAAGTCAAATAGGTTTTTACCTGTGGAGAAGTTCCCTTTTGACAAGTCAAAGCCATCTCTAGAGCTTTATTGCCTGTAAAACTGTTGGAGGTGATTGCCTCACTGTCACCAAACTGCCTGTTAATGTTGCAGCCACTGAGGCAGCTGCGGAGGAGGACTGGCAAGGGCAGGTTTCCTGCTGTAGGCAGGAGAAGTAGAAGGGCTATTAGCAAAGCAGGTGCTTGGGGGTGGAGCAAAAATGTCAGGTGAGGAAACATTATGACTTCTACTCAGAAAGTGAAGTACAGGCATCAATTTTGTGAGGCCTTCCCAAGAGCATTTCTATGCACATGTGCCATTATTTATGTGTGGGCCAGTCACACAAGCAATTCTAGGTGCAGGATCCCTAATGATTCCAATGGGAAAGTCATATTTGGGCTGCTTGCAGAATCCAGGAGTCCTACGTTGCACATAGAATCTTTGTTACTTCGACAGCCTGAGGAGGGGATAAGCTGCTCTAATCAGACATTCCTTCCTGGAGGGAAAAGAGACCCTTCAAGTCATGCTCTTTGCAGACACGCATCTTTCTCACTGTCACTCTGGAAAGTGACATTGATTCTTTTCCCTGTAGCAGAACCACGATTACTTAATTTGTAGCCACTGGAGCCTATGGCAAAAGTTTTTGAGAAAGGAAGCCAAGATTTTCACAGCTGACTTGAAACCTAGAATAAAGAAAGGCAGAAGAAGACCTAAGTCTACTCAAAATGGAGTGAACAAGGTCCACCCATCCTAATGGGATGAGGGGTTAAGCCCTCTCAAGGAGCAGGGTGAAGTAAGACTATAACCTCAAGATTAGGCTCTTCTTTATAAAGCCACACAGAGTGGTTTGAACTCTACCCATCTTTGGTCATTCCCTGATATTTGGGACATTAATCCCTGCTTTAGTCTACACAGGCAGAAGAGCAACCTGGGCTTTGCGTGATGGGATCTGCATTTTATAGGACTGGATTATTGAGACTGGTTTGAACACAAAAAACCCAAGCAGACTCCTCCATGGCCAATAAGATTCTGAGGCTCACCAGCCTCCTGTGAGATAACAAATGCTTCACCTCAGGTGAGCCAGGTAGTGGGAGAAGATGTTCAGCCAGAAAATCTTTCT